TCATTCTCCCAATGTAACGGGATCGTTGTATCCATCATGACTGACTGTAGCCCCAAGTTAGCTACTCTTAAGGCTTAACAAGCATGGTGCTCCCGAAATTTGTAGAATGATTAAGGTGGGAATCAGCACCTAGGTGTAATCCGCACGGTCTCCTTTACCACCAATCTGCCTGCAGTTTGGCTGTAACTCCTTTCCAGTAGGCATTCCAAATGTGTCTCCCTCTAAAGTAAAAATTATTTTTGACACACAGTGTTCCCTAAAGTTCGAAGGACTTTGTTCCATCGGCTAAGTGTATAGCATTGTTTCCCTAGTGGGGTGTTTATGGACAGAGGTTCCGATCCTCTTAGCAGTTTCCTCAGATATGATGCTTATCTGGGAACCAGTGTCCACTAAAGCAGTATAAACAACCCATAATCAAATTCAGGTTATACACAAAGTCTGTGGTAAGTGCTTAAAGTGGGCCCCTCAAGTAGTTCCGCTGATTCTGGACCCTGCGCATCAGCACCTGTTAGTTTTCTGAATCAATAGCTGTAGGGCACTCTGGTATATAATGTACTCTTTTTTCCACAGAGAAAACAAACAACTATCCAAGAACCAGGGTGTCTCTTCTCACATTTTGCTTTAAAATGAGACTTGGATTTGCAGATAATACATTCTTTGTTATTATTTGACTTGTGTTGTGTTTTAAGAGACTCCTGTGGCTTGGACTCGGCAAGTGTATCTAGCCAATTCAACAGCTGCCTCATCACTGGTCCAACCATTTACTACGGACCACGAGACTAAACTGAGTTGAAAAGGCATTTAAACTATGAGTCCCATCGTAAGGACGCCATTTTGAAGGGTACTGGCACTTCACTTCTATGTGAACATCTGTTATTTTTCAGTATCTGAAGCTCGTCTGGTTGGATGAACAGATGGAGAGTATAAGGTCTATACAGTGACTGTGGACCATGCACCATCGCTATAGCTGTGAAATCAAGGGTAGACTTTTTCCTACTTGGCTACACAATTTTTCTCTCTTTGGCACCAGATTTCCTGACGGTATGTTCATTAGGGTACGAAGACATATCATAAGGTCTTGTAGTATCTGAAAAAAATCTAGTCCCATAATCAGCTGTTTCCTCATTGACTCTAGCAGAGCTCCTCGCAGTTGTGGTTTCCACTGCTGCACGCGGAGTTGCCTGAGACATAAATGAAGTCCATACTGGGTTATTGGAACCGAAAGATTGAACCACTGAAGGTCCATCAGTTCCCTCCTGATTTCCACCAATAGATTTCCCGTTAGTGTAGAGATGTTTGTGCATCTCGCCATCTCCCCACCTTCTAGAAATCTTGGGCGGTTATCAGGGTACCACTGAATGATAGGAAGGAAGAAGTGACTGGTGTCACAGGGGAAATACCAAATCTCCCTGTCAGCCCAGTCCTGGTTACTCCTGAAGCCATCGTCAAGTCACCTATACCATCGGGTTGTGGATCGTCATATGCTACAAAAATGGAGTTGGCCAATTCCATGTCTCCAGCATATTGGGTTGAATCCTCTGGTTGAGATGGTATGGTAAGGTCGACATCATGTTAGAATTATCTTGCGTTAACCAAATTTACACAAATTGGTTAAACATGCCTTAATACATGTTAATGTTACATTGAATGAGTCAGAGTATTATATATTATATTAACTACATTAAATATAAAAGGCTTGTCCCATCTGGTCGCAGCATCACAGCAAAGTCAACATCATGGCAAGTGTTACTCTAAGACAACTAATTATTTCAATGAACACTGAACACATAAACTGTTATCTCATATAAGTCAGAGTATTAACAATTAAATATAAATAACCGTGGACATGACTAAGTACGTTTAACAAAACGTTTGTTTATCCCACATCTGACACCAATTGTAACAACCCTGGCCTATATGTAACAGTGGAGTGATCAATAAAATGTTATTAAAGGAAGGAATACCTCTTGTGTTATGCCTAATTAATGAAAATACATAATAAGTAAGGTCAAGTTAAAATAATGTATTTTATTTCACATGATTATTATTATTATATTAAAAGGTGTTAGCAATAATTGTATTTATTAATGTAAACAAGTGGTTATCCTTTATGGATACCACCTGATAGTCCCTGATATATATGTCAAGTATCAAATGAATAAAAGTACAAAATAAGTCATCCTTTGTGGATAAACTTATATGGAAATGAATGGATCCAAGTTGAAATGATATCCTTTATGGATTTACATAACATAATCAAGTAGTTATAATTCGTAATAGATGTACATAATTAGGTCAAGTAATTGTCATCACTAATGGATGAACACAAATGAATGAAGTAGTTGTCATCCTTAATGGATGAATGTAAAAGGGCTAAGTACATGTCATCCTTAATGGATGAACAAAAGTGGACTAGGATTAAGTGTTTCTCGTCCTTGAAGGATGATTGTAAAGTGACTAAGTAGTTATCATCCTTAATGGATGAATGTAAAAGGGTAAGTGCATGTCATTCTTAATGGATGAATGTAAAAGGACTAAGTGCATGTCATCCTTAATGGATGAATGTAAAAGGGGCTAAGTATTTGTCATCCTTAATATATGAACATAAGGTTACTAAGTACATGTTACTCCTAATGAATACGCATAAGTGGACTATGTACATGTCATCCCTAATGGATGATCATAAGTGGACTATGTACATGTCATCCTTAATGGATGACCTCTAATGAACGAACATAAATACATGTGAAATGAACGAAGTAAAATAATCACTAGTGATAATAACGGTTTTAAAATATGTGTGTTCTACAGTATCATATGATCATGTTGAACTAAATATGTACAGAAATTGTGATGTTTGACTTTGAGTAGAAACTAAACCATTTATATTGAAGTTTCTTAAAGTAAAAAGTTTTCTCAAAATGTGTCCAATAAGAAATTGTGGTAAAGGAGTGATATTAATTTTCCCAATAGATGTCCAGTAAAAATGGCCGAGAGAAATGTTGTAATAAATTATCCAAAAGATGGCCAGTAAAAATGACGGGGATTTGAAATTGTACCAAATATTTCCCTTGCTAAAGAGCTTATAGAACTGGTGGTAATTTGAAATGATACCAGAATTTACTCAATAGGTGGCTAATAAAAGCGGCGGGAGTTTGAAATGTTACAAAATTTCCCTTATAAAATGACTAACAAAAATGGCGGGAACTTGAAATGGTCCCAGATTTTACCCAGTAAATGGCTAACAAAAATGGCGGGAACTTGAAATAGTCCCAGATTTTACCCAGTAAATGGCTTACAAAAATGGCGGGAACTTGAAATGGTCCCAGATTTTACCCAGTAAATGGCTAACAAAAATGGCGGGAACTTGAAATAGTTCCAGATTTCCAAAGAATTATAAATGCCATAATAATGGAGTAACCATAAAACGTGGCTGATGAAAGTGGTCAATAACACCTTAGGAATATGACAAATTACCATCCCTGTTTACTCAATAACAGTTGTAAATGTTAGATGAACGTTTTCCCTTTCCAAAAATATGAGTAATTTTCCATCCCAAAACAGTGAATTTCCATGTCTAATGTGAAAGGATTTCCAACCAAAACATGAGGGTTTTATCTATAAAATGTACCCATAATGAAGAAATTTATCCACAAAAACACAACTCAACTCACTGCAAGGAATTTCTTCCCCAAAATTATAAGGTTTTTACCCATAAGCTTTTGAAATAATACGTCCATAAAACAGTAAAGATTTGTACCCTCAAACATGATTGACAGAGCAGGTAAAGTTTTCCCGCCAAAAAGGTGTAATTGCCCGCCAAAGGGTAGTATTTTCCCGCCAAAAACCATAATTACCCGCCAAAAGGCATAATTACCCGCCAGAAGGCATAATAAAACATAGGCTTGAAATATAACCTGGAAACCTCTCCATAAAATGGTTTATTTATAATGACTAAACATTGCCTAAACACCTGAACACTGCAGCCGAAAATGTATTCAAAGTTATAAATAACCTCCTATATAAGGTATACGAGTATAAATAGAAGGGGAAGTATACTTGCAACGTGGTATAATGAATTGAATAAAATACTGGGTTATAAAATTGTATGCAATTTGAAATGGTAGACTCCAAACGCTAGAAATTCCAATGATTTTCTAAATGAAATTCACATTACGTAGATGACCATAAATAAATGAAGTAACTATGAAGCCACCGAATGTATGAAAGAATGTAATTATTTAGGCCTACCCAAGTTTCAGCTGTTGAAGTTGAAGCCATGATGGGAGCACGTCCGTCCCTCAGCAAGTTGCAAATATACTACCTCGAACTATGTTCGCGGGCTCATGATCATGTGATCTTCAATCTCGAGTCTCACGAGATTTGAAACGAGATTTTAAACGAGACCGGAAGTATTTTAACCAAGGATTTAAAAAAAACATTAGCTTCTTCCGTAAGTAGAATATAAAGTAAAATATCGACCAGGTCCCTTTGCCATACTGGCGATACAATACAAATGTCGGGCCCCTGGTCGCTACAGTAGTATACGCACCATTCACGTTGTAATTCTCAATTTTATGAGAGAAATATCTCTCACATGTTTTCTTTTTCCACCATCTTGAAATTAAATTTAGGGGGTTTGTATTTCTAAATCATGGGCCTAATTTACGACTAATTATCATTATAATCATCCTATATGTTAACTATCAACCAATTATCTACTTCAGACCAAAAACGTTTTAATTTACCACTTACTATCACCCTCAAACATTTCATATCTTAATTATCAACTAAAAATCATAAATCAGCATTATTGTAAGTTAATTTACGTTGAACTTGCTACTGATAATTAGGCCATAATTATCATTGATTTAATTAACGCTTAACTTTAATTCCAATTGCCTGCAGAATTGTTGATAATTAGTTGTAGATTAGTTGGTAATAAGTTGGTAATTAGTTTTATTTTTCAATTTGGAGGGCATTTGTAGATGAGATGTTCAGTGCTCCCGCATTGTCTACATCTGGGTTTGTTTTTAGGGCACTCTCTGCTCATGTGGGATAAGTCCTTACATCTTGCACAATTGATAGGTTGAGAGTTAATGTAGATTGTCACCTCATAATCAATAAGAGACTGTGTGTCAAACGGGTTGGATGTTGTATAGTTATTGTACCTGGGAAATATGACTCCAGTTTTGACATGCCCGTAGCAGAAACGATTACCAGAGTTGATGCGAATCCCATTGCTTTCCTTCATGGCATACTGGACAGGAGTAGTTATTGTGACACGTTCACTTATCCAATCTTGCTTTTCTATGTTCGAAATGTGCAAAGGTATTCCATGTATGGAGACACGTTCTGGTGGTTTAAGGGATTCCTCTGTGTAGTTCATGATCTGTACGAGTTGGCCATTGCAATTTATTTGACCGATAGAGACAATCTGGGCTTTGGCTTCCAAATCACGGCAATATATTATTGCGATGTTGCTTCCTCCCCATATAAGTTGAACTCCTGCAATTGGGTCGTTGGTTATCTCTCCCATTTCATCATATCTCAGTCTGGCAATTTCAAGTTCTTTCACTTTGCGTCTGCCAAAGTCCATTTTTAACCACAGGTTTACATTTGCGAAATCCATTGCACCTCAATATTGTTTGTGTTTGAGTGTGTAATATGTCACTGTGACTTTTCAATGTAGCACTAATACATGTACTGCACTGTTTATATCTACTATAAGGTACTACACATAAATCAATATTTATATGTACAATGTTTCAAAAATGTTCTCGCCCTAAATATGTGTCCTATGTTCGTTTTATTCCCAAAATTTTTTGATCCTTAGTTTTCTATTATGTTTATGTAATGCTTATCCAAATATTATATTTGTACTTTATCTAATTACTGAGTTATAGACAATTATAATCAGAGCTGTTTTAATGCATGTATTCCTTTGTGTAACCTTTGACCTGATTGATTCGATTGAATCTATTCCATATGGTTGAACGTTGTCTACATTCGTCTTAGAGTATTAAAACACTGCAGTGACACCTGAACATATGGTCAAACAAGGCATTGACATGACAAAATGTCACCATACTATAGTTGCTCAAATCATGAAATCTAAAGTCAGATTTGAACTTTTGCGAACTTTGAAAGAAGTTGAAAAAATAACTTTTGACCTTTGACTTTGAGAAGGTCATTGAAGGTCAAATCTCAAAACTAAAGTCAGGTTTGAGCTTCTGAGAACTTTGAAACAAGTTGAAAAAAGACCTTTCTACCTTTGGCTTTGAGAAGGTCATTGAAGGTCAAATCTCAAAACTAAAGTCAGGTTTGAGCTTCTGAGAACTTTGAAACAAGTTGAAAAAAGACTTTTCTACCTTTGACTTTGAGAAGGTCATTGAATGTCAAATCTCAAATCAAAAGTCAAGTTTAATTTGAGCTTCTGAGAACTTTTAAACAAGTTGAAAAATACATTTTGACCTTTGACTTTGAGAAGGTCATTGAAGGTCAAATCTCAAATTTAAAGTCAGGTTTGAGCTTCTAAGAACTTGTTGATGATTTCTTTTAAAGAATTGGTCAATGTGAAGCAAGTTGAAAAAAAATTGTAGTCAGTCTGAACAGTATTTGTTATTGGAAGATGCAAAAAATTGTTACAGACGCCAACCACCAACCGTCGACCGCCACCTGCCGTCACAAAAAAACAGAGACCATGACAACATGTCACTTCCGGTCGAATCTTAAAATGCAGTGAACAGTCGGTTTCATGAATATTGGAATTCCTCATTGCATTTGTTCTTCAACGTATTGTTGTGTCTTTAAAATGACCAAAGTATATCGTGGTCCTTTGGGTTTGATTGTGATAATGATTCCTTAACATTTGAGAGCTGGTTCATTTCTGGGACATAGGATCATTTGAAATTGGTCTAATAAATGTGCATGAGACCTTTGCACATTTGGGATTTGTTTCTCTAAAAAATGTTGTGATTTTGAATTTTTCCCTTCTCAACGTGTGTTTATACGCTTCAGATAAGATTCATCTTGAGCTGGGGTGCTATCTAAAGTATCAGATGAGGATTGAGACTATGTCTTTTTGAAACAATAAAGGAACATTTTTTTGAAAAATTACATTTCTCGTAATAATTGTTTCTAACTGATTTTGATTTCTTTGTTTCAGAGTGGACCAACATGCGTGGCAACAGTGGGGCTTGCCATCATGTTCTCCGTGAGGTTAACATTGCAGGGGAAGTATGGCTCCACTTTGGCAGACGGGGACAAAACTGGAACTATATAGACTCTATTTCTTACGTATGCCCGATCAATCTACTACAACAAAGACACATCAGTGCAATGGCGGACTTTGATATATTTGATTATGCCATAGAGTCTGATCTTCAATTCCGCCTACAGGCTGACGATAGTACTAACCCAAGTTTCTTGAAGGTTTCCAGTGTTGATTCTCCATGTTCGATGGACGTCATTGAAATGGGTTACGGAAGCGATCATACGAATTTGAGTTTTACGCCAAATACGTTTGATAGAATACGATGTGTGGGAAATAACGGTAATAAGTGTGGGCTGTTAAACAAGCCCCCAAGAGATGGCGACACCAGCCCAATCTTCATCTGGCAAGTTTGTTTCAAACCAACAAGTATACCCGATGGGGCATCTGCCTCTGGTGGTCAATGGGCCCGTAATAAATTCACTTGGGCTGGTACAAAATACGTTGTAAAAATAAAAATAGAAGACAGTTTTTAGAATTATCAACGTTGATGATCTTAGCAGCATTAAATAAAATACTAAATACCAAAACATTGTTTCACTTTTATATCATAAAACATCGAACAAGCTCTAGAAATAGCAAATCGTCCCTCGAAGTTCAATCACTCCCAGTAAATAACCTGCACATATTTAGCAATGATTAAAGGTTAAGTTAAACTTCAACTCCACTGATCTAGCTATTCGCGTCATTCAGTCATTAATACTCCGAAATTCGCTCAAATGAGTTATTTTTCACAAAGTACATTTTTCATATTTCATTAAAATTATGGGCATATAAGTTGACATGTTTTTGATATATCAGGTGGAAATTACAAAAGTATAATTTGTACATACTCAGATGCGAGTAGGTAATTACCAGTTTCGCCACCAGGTGGCTGATTTGGGGGAATTAACATGGCAGGGTATTACAAAATTCCTTTAAACTTGAATATTCATCAGTTTTAGTGGTTCACTTTTCATATTACCCGTATGTATGTGATAGTTATACGTACAAATCAAAATATGTCCAGTTAGAGAAAATATTATCTGCCCAACACAAGAAAAGATATTTCACTTTTTGTGGTTTTACAATATGGGGTCTATGGGGAATCTCCCCGACCTAGATCACATTTTCAAAGAAAAATAATATTTCATAGTTGATAAACTCTTTGTAAAACCACATTTCTAGATGTAATTTTACATGTAGATACCAAATATGACATCTAGTTTGACTGAATTGTGAAATTTTAATGATGTTAATCAAGATTATTTCTTCTCATATCTAGGATAATATCCTAGTTTGACACTATCTTGACGTATTAGAATAAGTTCAACAAATTTTGAAATTATGTCTTTAAAATTCTTCGAAAATAAATGATTTATAGTAAAATCGTAACATTGTCATTATGAAGTAGTTAATAAGACAAGCGTTTAAGTCCGTCCGTAAGCAGGCAATTAGATCCTTAACTCGCTTTCGAATGGTATACTGGAACCTGAAAATAAATTGCGTCATTTATTTTTATCTCTAAAAACTAACTTTAAAGGGCTCGTTTTTGTTTTTGACACGTGTGTTTGGGCAGGGGCGCTTTCTTGAATCTATAACCGTAATAAGTTCACTTGGGCAGGTACATCATAATATTTTGTGAAAATAAATATAGAAGATAATTACTAAAATAGTCTTAAAGGTATACTTACACTTATTGCCCTTAAAATGACCCATTACCTTACTCACTTCGAGAGCCATGTTAGATTTTGAAACTTATGGCTCTCAAACGGAGAAGTGAATAGTGACCTTTGAAATCGAATTAAGTAGATCAGCGGCTTACTTTTGGTCTCTAACTGTGTCTTACATCAGTATCATCAATCCGTGTAAGTATTGGAGCGCTGGAGTACTTCTTTTTCGATCAAGACTTGTAAATTGTTCATCGAGTGAAAGTTTATTAGACCTATTTCCAATATGGCGGTTTGCTAGGTGCGAGATACCCAACGAACAAAATGAATTTTGAAAATTAGTTAGGTTCGGACAGCCTCCGGAGATTTACGAAAATGTCCGAGCAGAAACCGCCATATTGGAATTTGGCAGTAGAACGATTCACTCGACTAACAATTACAAGTCTTGATCGAAAAAGAAGTACTCCAGCGCTCCAATACTTACACGGATTGATGATACTGATGTAAGACACAGTTAGAGACCAAAAGTAAGCCGCTGATCGACTTAATTCGATTTCAAAGGTCACAATCATTGAGCTGTCCAAATGCTCCGTGGGAAAGCTATTATATCAAAATCCAAATAGCTTTCGCAGGAAGTAACCATTACCCACATACTTTGATACATGTATCTTTTTCCAGGGATACCCCTTGATTCTGAAATTTTACCATCTTATGTTACTTTCCATAAAAAACAATGTGATAAGGTAGCAATGCTATATATTGTACATTCATTCATGCATACATATGAAACACCAGGGTGTGTATATTCATTTAGACGCTAGTAATACACCCAAATGATAGCCTAATCATTCCGTTATTTTTCATATTATATAGCAATGATATATATTCCAAATTACAATTGACATTTAATATTTCATTGCACTTTACTGTGACACAACATATTGAAAATTAATCAGAAAAAAATAACTGATATAATCCACGCGTTAAAATAGCGATATATAAGTGAAAATGCCATGTTAATTAATTGAAACAAGGGTGATTTAAAAGACCATTTTTTATTTTATATACAATAATATAATCATGAAATAGATGTCATTATGGGGCATCACGAGTAATCAATTCCCAAATCAACATTATCTGCTCAATAGATGTCGTGGTATATCATTTTTAAATTGAAATTGCGATATCTTTTATTATATATATCTGGTATATATCTAATGATCAGTCAATCGCATTATATTGTCATTATATGCCATGTAAAAGGAGTGGTATCGATATGGAGAACTGAATTCAACAATGTTTTTCTCGTAAACCAATCATTAAAAACATTCAGTAAAAAAACACTGTATTTTATGTCATGTTGACTGATTGACAACAATTTAATGCGAAAATTATTTAGAAATATTTTATATAACTGTTTTTGTTAACATTTTTTGTTTTTCTCGTGCAATTGTTTTTGCTCCTTTCTACCAATTCTTGAGAATGAAATAAAATATCTTTCCGAACCTTGTTGGAACAAAATAGCATATACAACATGTTTTTAGACCTTTCAATATTATAGTTATACAGTACTGTACAAAGGAATTTTTGGTTGATTTTTAAAAAAGTATTCAAAAAATTAAAACAAAATCCCCCCAAAATAGATAAAAATCAAGATAAACCTTTTATTTCATTAACAAGATACTTTTTTTTAAATCAACCAAAATTTCCTTTGTACAATTACAATATTGAGAGACCTAAACATGTTGTGTTTATGTCGTTTTGTTCCAATGAGGTTCGGAAAGATGTTTCATTTTACTCTGGAAACATGATATCAAGAACAAAACAAGTGTTTGATGTGTTTTCTAAAACAATATAGATGAAATTATATATATATTTTTCCAATTATATTGTTACCATTCAAAAGATGACCAATTAAATTGACAATGTGTAAAATTTTCAGAATTTTCTGATGACTGGTTGAAGAGAAACGTGTGTTCAAAAAGTTCGCTATATCGATACCCATCTTTTGCATTGTATGTTATTGTAATTGTATGTAGTTTTAGTTTTTATTTTATCATGTTTATTTGCTTGACACTTACCCAAACGGGATTTTTAGTACAATAAAGCATTGAATAATATTAGTTGTATGGCATACACTGAAGTCGGCATAATCTACACTGCACCATTGGTCGAAGATATATGACAAAAATCCCGAAGATATATGTAATAGGTGTCCACGCTCTATAGGTTAATAAGCGAATTAAAGGATTATCTTTAATTGTGAATTCGGGACAAATAAAAGAGATATACATCAACACTCCCCTCCATAAGTTTGGCAACCTTTTTTCCCCATTGAACTACGTGTTAAAGCCTCTTTACGTTTGAATTTTTATTTATTTAACCGGCAATGAAATAACTTATAATATTGATGGTAACGTAACTTGACTTTATTTCAAATACCTCCAAATTTTCTCAATTTTTTCCTCTATTACAATAGGTCGAAAATTGATGATAAATTTGATGAATATTTGAAAATCGTCATTCCCATGTAATCCAATGGGAAATGGAGGGTTCGGGGCAAATCAGAAATCAGGATATCTTTTCAGTAAAAGATTCAGCAAAAAATGTTTTTATATAGAAATTGAATTGATAGCTTTTTAACACTAAGTGTTTGGTTTATTGGATGAATATTAAAGTTACAGCGCTTCTAAGTCATTTTTGAGAATAATTTTTCGCCTCCTGTGTTGTTTCAATGGGAAAGGTTTTTTGAAAAACAATTTTGACTTTAAAGCCCTATAACTTTGTTGAACCTGAAGAAACATATCAATTTTTTGTTAACTAAAGTTAGCAAATTCTATTGCCTGCCTAACTCATATTTTTGCAAGGACTCGGATGGATGGATATTCTGTCATATGACCTGTGGCAAACCTACCATTTCCCATTGGTTAACATTGGAATGTCGATTTTCAAAAATTCATCAAATTCATCATCAATTTTCGACCTATTGTAATTGAGGAAATAAATTGAGAAAATTTGGAGGTATTCGAAATAAAGTCAAGTTACGTTTCCATTAATATTATAAGTTATTTCATCGCCGGTTAAATAAATAAAAATTCAAACGTAAAGAGGCTTTAACACGTAGTTCAATGGGGAAAAAAGGTTGCCAAACTTATGGGGGGGGGGAGTGTACATGTAACTAACGATTATGGTTTATGCCAAGTATTGAGATCTCTATTGTAAATACTTAAATCTTTGTTGCATTCTGTGAAAGTAACTTTATATTTTAGAGGCTGGGAATGGTACACATCCCATACTACATGACTAGTGTATTGTATAAATATTTAACTGATGAAAGAAATATTGTGAGAAAAGTGAGAAGTTATTTAGACCCCCCTCCCTGGACTGATTAACTTAACACCCCCCCCCCTCCCCCCCGTTCCTGGACTAATCACAAAACGTGTTGCAGGGCATAATTTAGTATATCCGGGTAGTCATGAAGATTATGTTTTATAGATTTTACTTGCCCGTACACTCATATGTTTTAAGTTTATATTTATATATCATGAAAGAATTTGAGATCTATTCAAACATGTTTACAAAATTCACAACAAGGTTTATTTGTCGCAAAAATTCAGAATATATCAACAACACAAATACTTCTTTATCCTGGTCTATTTTCATAAAAGTTGTTTTCTTTAAAAATGAATAGATAAAACCACATCAAAAAGGCATCATTGTTTAATCCCTATTTCGAAAAATCACATGGTCACATATCAAAAGCTTCTTTAAGTTACTTCATTGCAAACTTCCACGGTCTTCCACATAAATACACGTTTATATTCAAACAGAAAACTGCTAATTGATGCTCGCTAATTACCTATAGTTTTAGTTATCTAAATTGGGAGGTTTTTCTCAGGAGCGCTAACGCCGCATGATTGGTTAATTGTACGCTTAATTAGCCCCTTTTGAAAGTCTCCTTTCGTGAAAAG